GGGCACACGTCCGTCCCCTCCCCCCCCCCCCCCCCCCGCAACAGCACTGGGAGGAGCTAAAGTTCCTGTAAAGCAGGTATTGGCACGATGTGACTCGCCGGACATTGCTGTTTAGCAGTGTGCCGACGCCCTCCCCAGAAGCCTCCTGCTAGCTGTGCAGAGCAGGGAGAGAAGGGGAAAGCTGAAGTCAGGGTCTACCCCGCCCCCAGATCCCCTCTCTGCAGAGCAGGGGTCAGAGAGAGCGGGACACACAGCGGAGTTGCTCCAGGCTGAAGTCTGAGGAGTGACTGAGACGAATGCCTCTTAAAGAGGCAGTTCACGGTTTGATTTCTCCAGCAGCAGCTTTTCTCCCCTCCATTTCCTCTCCCCCACTACTTTGCATCTCTGAAGAGCAGGGGAGGGGAGAGAACAGAGCTGAGAGCTTTCCCTGTCTTGAAGAGAAAGTGTATGCGGTCTCACAAACTCAGCACACACACCCCCGTCCCAGTCTCGCGCTCTCCTGCTTCCACCCAAGGTCCTGCCCCTTCTGTGGGCCTAGAGCCAACCCATGACAACTTACCAAAATGCATGGAGTCCTCCCCCCCCCATAAAAGTTACTGTCCACCCTGCTCTATATGAAGCCTACATCTATCTTCCCTTGGGAATACTAATAGCCTCCAGCGCCCATGTGCAGGTTAACTCCAGCAGGCTGAACTATAATAGTAACCAGCTGGCTCTAGAATCATAGAACACTGGAACTGGAAGGGACATTGTGAGGTCATCGAGTCCAGTCCCCTGCCCTCAAGGCAGGACCGAGCACCGTCTAGATCAGTGGTGGGGGAGCACGTGAAGCCTCCTCCGCTCTGCCCCTGCCCTATGTGCTCCCCTGTCCCCAGGCCCTAATTGACCTAGGGGCAGGGGAGCGAGGGAAGTCTCCTCCCACGCCAAGGGCATGGGCACTTGGGGGGAATGTGGGGTGGGGGCAAAGGCAAAGTCTGGGGGTGGGGAACCCAGATATATCTTGGTGATTTCCCCCCCCCCTTTCCTGTGCGTCTTGGGGCCCCTTCAAAAATTTCCGAAGTGACCCCTGGCAAAAAATTATTGCTCACCCCTGGTCTAGATCATCCCTGATAAAAGCCTCTCTAACCTGCTCTTAAATATCTCCAGTGATGGAGAGTCCACAGCCTCCCTAAGCAATTTAGTGACGCTGCTGCTGGTCAGTAGTTTGAGAAGCCAGGTTCTAACAGATTCCATACTACCTGGAGGGTATTTAAGCTAGGGATCTAAATAAGGGTTAAAAACAGTAACTGTAACTGCTAAGAATCCAAGGCTGTCTCTACATTGGCATGATTTTGGGCAAAAGCACCTGCTTTTGCGCAAAAGCATGCTGCCTGTCTACACTGGCGGGGGGAACGCTGACGTTCTAATGTGTGAAATCAGTGCTTCTTGCGCAAGAACTATGATGCTCCCGCTCAGGAATAAGCCCTTTTCCGCAACTGTTCTTGTGCAAGAGGCCAGTGTAGACAGGCAACATGAATTTCTTGCGCAAGAAAACCCGATGGCTAAAATGGCCATCGGTGCTTTCTTGCACAAGATTGTGTCTACACTGGCATGGATGCTTTTGCACTAAAAACACATCTCTTGCGCAAAAGCACATGCCTGTGTAGATGCAAAGTACTCTTGCATTAAAAGTATTTGTGCAAAATCTTGCCAATGTAGATGTAGCCCTGGTGGCTACGTGGTAAACTGTTTTTGGGAATCTCCAGCTGGGTGGGACTATGGAAGGAAGGATGGTGAGGGGTGCCCCTGCAGCTCCCAGGAAGCTGGCTATACCACGCTGTGCTGCAGGGTCTGCATTATAAGCTCGAAGCTGAAGAGCCCCGCAGGGCAGCAGCTGGCTTCCCAGGAATGGGGCAGGCAGCCGGCCGACAAGCTAACCAGAACAGAAACTGACAAGGTGATGGTTATCAGTTAAACTCTCCTTTTCCCCTTCCCCCCCCCAATAGCACAAAGACGTTTCTTGTTAAATAATGGCGTATGGAGTTTGTGTATCCTAGCTTGTCACCCACAAGCACTTGTGAAGCTGGCTAGTCTAGCCTGCAGTGTCCACAGTGCCATAACCACACATAGAAAACTGGTGGTCTCACTTGTCGGTGACAGGCCTTCCTCGGCTGTACAGAACTGGCGATAAATAGCTTTTAACCCCTTCAAAGACGTTTCTTGTTAAATAATGGCGTATGGAGTTTGTGTATCCTAGCTTGTCACCCACAAGCACTTGTGAAGCTGGCTAGTCTAGCCTGCAGTGTCCACAGTGCCATAACCACACATAGAAAACTGGTGGTCTCACTTGTCGGTGACAGGCCTTCCTCGGCTGTACAGAACTGGCGATAAATAGCTTTTAACCCCTTGGATGTCTGCAAAGCTCTGTAATAGCCCTGCTTGGTGTAGCCCAATCATTGCTGTCAAGGCAGTTGCTGTTCTCTTTCAAGAGCCAGGCAAGTTAATTGTGTTTTTCTCCTTGCACAGATTGGCCCCAATGTACTTCAGTGCCAAAGTGCTGTGGATTTTGATTGGTTTGGCTACAGTTGGGCTTTTGATCCACTTCCTGCCTCTCAGTTCTTTTGTGCGGACAATGGAAATGCCAAGCCAATTGCAACTGCTCTTCTCATGGTAATCAGCACCTGGGACTTCTGAGTTAACCCCTCCCCTCAGCATTGCCTGCAACTCTTCCAACTGATGAGAATCTCCCCACTAAAGCAGGTCAAAATAGAGCTAGAAAGCACAAGTGCTCTATGGCTGAAGAGATCTAAAACCCTTCCAAATTTTTCTTCACTCATTTGTCTCCTGTGTCAATTTGGGGGCGGGGGGAGGAAGAAAATGGTCCTGTCCTTCTTTCTCTCTTCACCCCAGCAAGTTACACTTACCAGAAAACAGTTTTAGGCTACATTTACACTACTGTGGGGATCCATCTTCTGACATTGATCCACTGGCAGGTGATTGAGTGGGTCTAGTGAAGACCTGCTAAATCAACTCCAGATTTTTCTCCAGTTGACCTTGCTAAATTAAATTATTGGAGATTGCCTATTGCCTAAAACTGGAAGGGACCTTGAAAGGTCATTGAGTCCAGTCCCCTGCCTTCATAGCAGGACCAAGTACCCTCCCTGACAAATTTTTGTCCCAAATCCCTAAATGGCCTCTGCAAGGATTGAACTCACAGCCCTGGGGTTTAGCAGGCCAATGCTCGAACCACTGAGCTATCCCTCCCCCTATTTCTCTTCCCATATTCCTTTTGGCTGGGGTAGTCAACAGGAGAGTTTCTCTCATCAACCCCCATCCTCCATCAGCAAGTCGACTGAAGGTAGTGTAGCTGTAGTCTTAGTTACAAGTGATGAATAGCCCAAAATTACACTTCCCTTATTTGGTTCTCTCGTCCCCATCTAAAAGTTCTGTGTATACATATAGAAAAGCACACGCTTGCTAGAGAAGCTAAGGACAGATATTATTGGCACATGCTTTTCCTACCCATCCCCTCCACACCCCATGCACTAGCTGAAACTAAGGATTTTGCCAGGCGAACCAGCTTGGCTTTATTATTTTCACAAAAGATCCCTTATCCCTCTTAAAATGAGGGATAAGGGATCTTTCGGAAAAGGCTTTATTATTTGCCAAAAGATCCGCATCTAGCCTGGCGCTTTTTTCCGGCAAAGCTCCGAGCCGGAAAAAAGCGGCAGCCATTTTTATGCTAATGAAGTGGGGGGGATTTAAATCCCCGTTTCATTTGCAATTGTGATGTCTAATTTGCATCCCTTTTACGAAAAAGGGATGCAGTCTCGACACAGCCCTTGTGTTTAATGTTGCAATTCCAAGCTGTTTCTTCTGTGTAGCTGGTAGCAGTACTTCATTCAGGTACAGTATACACAGAGTGAGGCAGGTCTAGCCCACCTGTTTCTAGGACATTTGTTTAAAAGCTTTCAGGCCCATGTTTGCTAATTGCTTGTGGCCCTGCTGGGTGCTCCTAGCAGTCAAATTGGACACTCGAAGCATGACAGAATTTTCATGACCAAACCAAGAACTACCCGATCCGCCGGACATAGACTTTAACTGTTAGCGGGTTGGCTTAATCAGGTACTCAGCACTTATACCTGTGGCAATTTTTCATCCACCTGCTGGTGTTTACCTTTGCTGAGCTACAAAGCTGCCTCATGTGACATTTACTATTGCTGCACTTACCCTCTGCATGTTTCCCATTGCTTAGCTGTCTGCTGTAAGTCACATGGACTATGCAGGGGTGCATTGCATGCCTAGTTGGGGAGTGGCCACAGAAAATAGCCAGAAAGGGGTGAAGGACTACTTTCCCAAACTTAGACTGGTTTGAAGAGGAGGCACATAACACTGGAGCAATTTTCTCCTTTGGCTACCATACTTCAAAAGCAAAAGCCAGTCAAAGAAAGGCTGTCCACTAACTCAGCAGAAACTTAATTCCTTTATTAAACCAATGTAAGTCCTTGTACTTGGATTCAAGGCTACTGCGGATGTTTTCAGGCCCCAGGTCCCTTGGCAGTAGTAGGAAAAAACATGTTACATATTACAATGAAGGAGCGAGTTGAGCAAGTATTTCTTTTCCTAATCTAGGCAGAGCTGGAATACAGGCCATTCCCTTAGGCTACTCCAGTATCCTGCCTGCAGTCGCAGGGCCTCTGGGACTGGCACCACAGCCACACGTAATGCTGCCTTGGCTAATGTGTAACCCCCTTCAATGCTTGCATTGCTGAGCAAATGTGTACAAACGGCAAGTGAAATATGAAGCGCCTCTTGGTGGAAAGTGGAAGCTCGAGTGCAGACACAGGCCCGGGTTTTAAATTTAATTAAACTTTATTACAGTGCACATTTTAATATATATTTATATAGAGATGTACTTGAAAAATCAAATGTATCCAATAATAAAAAATACAGCACATTAAAGTAGTATAATGCATTCCAGTGTATAGCTGAAGAGACATTGGGATTTCAGAAAACCTCTGAAAAATTACACTAATCCCTACCATTTTAGAACAGGGCTACTATCTCCAAAATTCACATCAACCAGTAACTGAAATAGTTATTACAAAGATGGATTTTGCACTCAAAATCTCAAGGCATGAAGACACAGAAGCCTTCAGCGTAAGTTTAATTCAGGGGCCGTGTACAACCCTGGCAGGCACAGTGTGGTTTATTATTTTCCCTGCCATACCGCTATACGCAATCCCCTCTGCTAGAACCACGATCCCTCCTGGACCACGAGGGGCGCTCCATCTTCCTGCTCACTTAATCTTCAGCGGTGGTCCTGGGAGAACTGCCTTTTGCGGGGGCAAGGGGAACTGTAGCAATTTAGGCTCTGGCGGTTTCCCGCAATACACCTCACCCCAGCTTTACAGTTAGTGAGAACTCACTCCCCCTGCGCACACTGCCAAGGCTCACTCCCCTACACTGCTCGGCAGTAGGACTACTAGGCTCCCCCACCCAGGTCTGCCCTTTCCTGGGCTGAAGATATGTTTGCCTGCCTGCTCGTTAGATCCTTCAGTCAGTGTGCCAAACTGCACTGTGCATTCGTGTGATCCCACTGCTCTAGCCCAGGAGCCATACCCCTGCAAGGATAAAAAAGTATGGTCCTCGCCCCGGGGAACAAAACCAAATCCATTGGGATTATTTTCCCTTGGTCTCTATACAGCAAGAGCAGACAGTGTAACTGCCCTGCCCCTGCAAATTCAGCTGCAGTCAAGATGTGCCTTTGCAGGCACTAGTGCTATTCTGGCCAGCACCCACATGTGGAGGTGGTTTCCCTCCCTGTCGTCTGTTGCAGAGCTTGCCAGGATGTGTGCATGTTGACCACATTGGTTTTTCTTCCTGGCGTGGAGCAGGTGGTGGTGCTGTGCATGCAACACGTTTGCACCGTTGGCAGACTGGGGGACGGGAAGAGAAGGGAGAGGATGAGTCAGGGAAGAGCAACTGCTGCGTGCATCCAACCCTTCGTCCTGGGAATTTCATTCTGCTTTTTTCAGAAAAATCTGAAAACAAAATGCTTCAGAATTGGGCACTTTCCTAGTTACAAAACTTCTGGGGAATCCTCACGCTAGCAGGGATGCAACTGGGAAGTTTGTTTTACAGAAGATATCCATGAAGGGACTACCCCTCCCCCCCCAATGCTAGACCCAGGATGGGTTTTTTCTCTTGGTTGCTGGCTGACAGACACTATCTCGCAGTAATACCAGAAGATCTTGTGATTGCAGCTTGTGACTAGTCTTCAAAGGGCAGTGCACATGCCCCTCGCATAGCCATGCTGGTGTGGAGACAAGCAAGCAAGGGTAACTGTTCTGGGGGCATTTGCCCCCTTAGGCAGGATATAAATGCCAAATCCCTTGTCCCAGACCCTCTAGCTGTTAGAACTCTGGGAGGTTTGAAGGGACACACTCAATGTTTTAAAAATGCTCTGGATGCTTATTTATTCCTCGTAAAAGCCCGTTTTCTCCCTTCTCAGTTGTCTGGCCAGCAGTAAGGGGCAAGCGCTATTTCCCCAAAGGATACAAAAAGCTGGTTTCACTGGCAGGAAAGCACTTGCTAGAGTAACAGTCCCTTTTACACAACTCCACAGGCTCATCTCTGTATCAGAAACTTCTATATCAAATGAATTGCCACTTAGGGGGCCTATCTTGCCCCCATGGGCATCTAGGTGAGCTTTTCCATTCAGCTTTCATGGGAGCAGGATCATCCAGTCATTCTGGATACAACAGGATGAAAGGGTTAACCGTTTATGGCCACTCACCCTTCTCCCCTTCCCGAGAACTCACAATCCCCTGCCCCTTTTACCCAGAGATCTGCTCCTCCAGCGCTGGGCGAATTCTCGGGTGAGAAGGGGGTTGTTTGTCTGTCCCAGGCTGTTGGGAAGAACTGTGGGGTTTTTTTTAAAGCCCGAAAACCATGTTACCTCACTCAAGATGATCCACACTGGAGAATCAGTCTGGATGACCAGTCGGATGGCTTCCAGAGGCCCAAATGAAGGGTCCACTTCTCCTTCTGCAACACCCTTAGAAAAGGAGCCTGGAGGAGAAAAGCAGATGGGTCTGGAGTAGAGTATCCTCCCAAGAGCAGACTGCTTAAGCACACAGTCCCTGAAGGCTCCCCACCACTGCATCAGGTAGTTTCATTTTCAGTCTTGTTTTCCAATAGGTTTTACAGAACACCAAACCCAGACCTTTGGCGGGAAGCCTTTGGGTTGTTTGTACAGGACCTTAACTTTCATTCTAACTCTTTAAGCAGCTGCAACGTTTAAGTGTTGCCTACCCCCGAACTGGTCCATAGCAACTGGATAAGCACATTGCTGTGTGCACGCTAAAAACACCAAACTACCTGACTGATCCCCTCTCAAATGAACTCAGAGCATTGTGAGGTCAAATATAAGCCCTTCCCAGAATAGCATTGCCTTAAATAAATAAATAAATAAATAAATAAATAAAAAAGGACCTCACAACCAAAGAAACTATTAGTCTTGTTGCACCTTAGGGTGCCTGGGGAGGACAGGGTCACGGGTTTGCACCCTTACTTGGGGGAGGCAGTATCAGGTAGGGTCAGGTGAAGGACCAGGCAGGCAGGATAAAGGGCCTCCCCACAGCAAGGTGGTGTGGTGGGTTCCCAAGTTGCCTAGGGGATAGGGCACCCACTGGGACAGGGTCAAGGGCTCAAGTCCCACCCCCAGGGTCTACACAACAGGGTTTTTGTGCAAAAACCCACAGAGCATCCATCCCTCCACGTGTATTTTGGCACAAGTAAATTTAAAGTAAATAAAAGAACAGAGGGGTTTCTGTGGCGTAGGTATTCCTCTGTCTACGAGGAATAACTCCTTTTTGTGCAAGAGTTCTTGCACAAAAAGGTGTGGGGACAGGCAATGGGGGTTTTACACAAGAGCCAATCGAAAAAAGCACAGGTGCCCTGGTGGCTATTCTGTGAATAGCAATTGGCTTTCTTTCGAGAGAGTGTCCATGCTTTTGTAGCATGGATACGGGCTTGCACAAGACGTTTTTGCGGAAGATCTCTTCCACAAAAAGCTTCTTGCGCAAGAAGCCTGCAGTGTAGACGTAGCCTTGGAGACGAATGAGCTTGTGTAGACAAAACCAACTTCTTTCTACCCCTCTGAAAAAGAAAACTGTTCTGAAATCTAGATGGCCAGTAGGTGTCAGTGTTTCACAAGGTAACATTTATCAAAATCTTGGGAAGCAAACAGAATCAAGGGGAAAAGAACACTGCAGGGAGAATATTTAGCCCCTTGATTTTCCTGACAACGTCTGTAGGGCGGCAAAGGCTGCGTGAGTGCAAACAGCAGCACAGAAATTCCCCACACAGCCCTGGCTACTCGAACGGCAAGTTGGAGCCTGGATTCTGATAACTCTGTCTCCAGAGATTTCTTCAGCTTTCCAGGTGCGATGGGAGAACGTTACTGCCATCGGCTCCTGTGGAGAACTTTACCACCATAGGCTCTCCCTGTGTGGTGTATTTCATCGGTGTGTCCACAGCAATGTATGCAGATGACCACAGTTCTGCCTCTGCCTGCTCTACAGAGCAGAGCCAGCAAAAAGAAAATCGATTAAAAAAAAAAAAAATCTCATCTGTAATTTTTCCCTCATGGTGAAGCCTTTGCTCCCTCAAAACCAGACAGCAGCAGAGAGGATCTTAGCATAAGGTGTCTGAAAACTGCTGGTGCTGCTGAGAGAAAACTTGCTGGAAATTACTAATGAATGCACCACAGCAGCATTTTGCATTAATTGAAAGGCAACTTTGTTCATTCCCCTTAGGTCTGTTCAGTTCCTCTCTCTCTGCTCTGGGAATCAGCTTTCATCCTTCTATATTGTTATATGAGAGACAGACAGTGCCCAGCCCAGGGGAAAATTGGGATTAAAACCCATCTAAATTTTGGCTCATGGGGAGAAAAAAAAAAAACCCCTAACTTGTTCTACACGGTTGACTTTCAATCTCATTTCCAGACAAATCACTTGCAAGCAAGGTTTTTAGTGGTGTTTTATTCATCTGAAGATCAGCAAAAGTGGTGCATTATCAGCAAACAGCAGGTCTGCTTTTGCCTTGAACCAGTAATTTACCTATCTGTATGTAGCCATCTGATGTCCTGTGGAACTTGAACGCTGTCCCTCTTCCCTCCTGCAGGGCTTCCTTATCTGACTGGAGACTCTGTGCGGGGAAACACAGTCATTGCAGAAAGCCAGTGGCATGAATTTAGGAAGCCTGCTGTGGGTACAGCTTGAATAGCCAGGGCCGCCAGAAAGCAAACAGCATTGCAGCTTTCAAAGGAAATCACTGCTGCAACATGCAGATTTGCTGTAAGGTCTTTCCTTTCAAGCACAAGCATCATATATTAAAACACAGAGAGTAGGTATTAAACCATCAGGCCATGGGCTTGTGTCTTACGGGCAGGCAGCAGCCATATCTGGTTTACCCCCCAAGACTTCATGTATGAGCCAGGCCTCAGATTTGGGTTCAGATTAGACAGCACAGAAGTTTTACAAGCTCTTAGTGAAAGATTAGATTCCCACCACTTGGGGATAGGACAAGAAAATCTGGTCTGAGCCTAGTGAGATCTTAAAATTAAAATTTAAAAAATAATTTAAAATTAATGGAGATTGCCTATCTCCTAGAACTGGAAGGGATCTTGAAGGTCATTGAGTCAAGTCCGCTGCCTTCACAGCAGGACCAAGCACCATCCCTGACAAACTTTTGCCCCAAATCCTTAACTAGCCTCCACAAGGATTGAACTCACAACCCTGGGTTTAACAGGCCAATGCTCAAACCACTGAGCTATCCCTCTCATCCAAGAGAATCACAGGAGAACAGGTATTTCTGCGAAATTCCGTTGGCATCTGGCCTGGAAAGTAAGCACCTAGTGGATTCTGATCTGAATTTGAACCAAAACCTTCATGGGGTGGTTCAAATTGGGAATCTGAATCGCCCTGCCCTTCCACCCAGCTAGAATTTGACTGGTTTTGGATGGCAGGTGCTTGTCTACATTTAACCTGTATAGAAGTTACATGTCTAACACCACGCTGCCATGTGATGGAAGCCAAACCACAGCAAGGACCAGCCAGAGGTTGGTAGGAGAAGCTGCAGAGGCAATCAAAGCAGGTAGGGGAGCACAAAATGGGGGCCCTGCAGGGGCACCTCACCCTCCAACTCAGAAGCATGCAAAGGGGACCCTGCTTTTCTCTGGTGGGACACTAGAACCCAGCAGCGTCTCCCCTTGTCTTGTTGTTGTGGAGAAAAACTGCGAAACAGAGACAGAGACCCCAGGTGGTAAGAGCAGCTGCACAAGTAGCCACAGCAGAGACCACTGGACATTCAGGAAACTTTCTACAATTTTACTGAACTTTCTCTACCCTTTCCTGATTGGCTGTTTACTCCAACCCTCTCCCTACCCCTCCTTCACAGTCAGGGCTGGATTACCCAATAGGCAGACTAAGCATGTGCTTAGGACACCAGCAAAGCAGGGGCACAAAAAAAAAAAAGATTTGATGGTATAGTAGTGTTTTTATTTTGAATTACATATGGGGAGATGGGGGGCTCCATAATCTTTTCAGTGCATAGGGCCTCTAAAGGTCTTAATCCAGCCCTGTTCACGGTCCTGTCAGCTTCATTCCACACTTGCCCCTCCTTCCCTCTGGCCAGCACCATGCACCCGCTTCCTTTCACCTCTGGCTTATCCCCTCTGAACTCAACCAACCGCCCAGTAGAAGTCCTGGGACACAACATGAAAATTGCTGCCATCACTCTGCTTATGCGTTTGACCTTTTTCTCCCACTGGTGTCGGTCTCGTCTACTCAGACTATATGTAGGCAGTGTCCGCGGCTCTGTGTCTGTGCAATGCCTAACACAGCGGGGCCCCCAGCACCTCCCTAACTTTATTAATAACAAAGTCTGAGACTAGCAGAACAAGCAGACACGTCACAGCCAACAAATCACATGCACTTAGCAAACATTTCCCCCCTCCACAACTTCCACTGCTCCCTACGCCCGACCTCCAGCCCGATCCTCCATTACTCACGTCGAAGGGCAAAACCTCCACGGTCGTATTGAACAGTTTGTCTTCTGGGTGTTCAATGTTGCCACTGCGGAAGAAGAATCTGTGTAACAGAGACCAAAGCTGTAAGACTCTGACTGGATTGGAGGGGGTGGGTGGGACCATCATCGCGTCTCCTGCCAGGAGGGATTGATCGAATGTCGGAACCAAGCAGGAGGCTTTATGATCACGGAAAGCCACTTTCATGGAGATGGGGATACGGAGATGGCTCTTCTGCAAAAACAGCTAATTTTGGATTATTGTTTTATTGCGTCTACAAATGAAAGGTTCCCGCTGCATTTGGGAGAAAACATAAGCAGTCGTTATCCCTATGGGGGGATCTTAGTTAGTAAAGGAGTTCTGAGCAGGCTACATAAATGGAGCCCTGGACAATATTCCCTCTATCCATGTGCTGAATAAATTTTGTTGCCTGCGCTGAGGCTAATACTGTGCACCACCAGTAGAAACATGCAGCAGGCACGCTGCTCCTCAGCTGGGCGGTGTTTGAATCTCTCCCGGGTGGCTGCCCAAGTGCACAGCTTACAGGGAACACTGCTCCTGGAGAAAGGCTTTTTCATGACCCTCCTGAGGCAGGGCTATTGGAATCCACCCACCCTTCTCTCTGGCTCATGGAAGAGATGAGATGCCACCACCCCAGAGCAAAAGAAAACTGCTAGGCCTGTTGCCGTGATATCTGAACCACCACATCCTGGACCTGAACACGAGCTCTGTGAAGATGGAAGTTCTTCCTCTCTCAGGAAAAAGAGGCCCCTCTAGACTGGGCTGAACACGAGCCCTGTGAAGATGAAAAATTCTTCCTCTCTTAGGAAAAAGAGGCCCCTCTAGACTGGGGTGGGCAAAAGGGCCTCCAAGCGGGTGGATCTGGCCCATGGAGGTCCTACTGCTCCCCTGCTCCAGGTCCTAATTGGCTTAGGGGCAGGGGAGTGCGGGAAGTCTCCTCCCACGCCAGGGGCATGGGCACCTAGGGGGAATGTGGGGAGGGGGGCAAAGACTCTCCCTCACCCCCAGATCAATCACTGGCTGGGAGTAGGGAACCCAG